TCCTATGTTCCAAAAAATACACTTAGCACAATAACTTTACGTAGAGACACCATCCGAGACATATCTGACTCGCGGGCGTGTACTATGTATTTGTTGTAAATCATACTAAATATCCCTAAAATCGCTCAAAGTAAATATATATATACCTAGTAAACAGTGGGATCCTTTTATCTGGAAAAAATCAATAAATATACACGAGAAAAAGATATCCAAATGATGGACGAATCATGGAGCGGAAGATCTCTAACAAATGAAAAGACTTCGTAACTCCTTCACTGCCAGTTCTAGGAATAACCAAGATGCTACCTTGTAATTGGACACGGAATGAGTAAGCAGGTGAAGATGTATGTTTTTAAGAAAAATCTTGAGAAAATTACAAACCAATAATCATCTAAGATTTCTTCATGTCTAATGGGCAAAACTTACATGCTTTCTCTCATATGTCATGTAATTTTTTATCATCTGATTAATATATAGTTAATTAGCTTGGTTGTTCTTGATTTGCATGCTTTCTCTCATATGTTATTATGTTTTTTTATCATCTGATTAACATATAGTTAGTTAGATTAGTTGTTCTTCAATTATATGTTTATCTCATATGTTATGATAGTTTTTTTATCATCTGATTAACATATAGTTAGTTAGTTTGGTTGTTCTTGATTTGCATGCTTTCTCTCATATGTCATGAGGTTTCTTATCATCCGATGAACATATAATTAGTTAAATTGGAGATCCTTTTTGAAATTTGAATATTCCAACTATTAGCATCATAAGGTAAAAGAAAAATGCACAAGTTTCCTATTTAAAATTTAAGGATCCTTTCATTTGCTTATTGGGTTTTGTAGCTTAAACGACACAAAAATAACGTGAAGTGAAAACTGGGAAGAAACGTTAACCCATTTTCATTCAGAATTTAAGAAAATACCCACTAGAACCACTGATTCTGCTACAATTACTTTAATTTTGTGCTAAAGACACAATAAAAACTCAGCCCACAGTATATCTCTTCAGAAACGACACAGCTTCAAAGAAATAACCACAAAAGATCGCGCCAATCGAGCCTTTGGGAACAATAGATTCTTTGCTGATAACAGTAAATGCTTCGCTAGGTTATCAGTGAAATACACGCCAGTTAACAGGGGTTCTGTAAAAAAAATCGGGCTAGCCGCTCATATACCATAAGGGCTAGTCTATCGCCATAACATCACCTACGGAAATGAATCCGTCCACAAACGAATCACAGCACAATGATAAATCTTAATTACGAAGAAAACTGCTTCGATTCTCTGATAGTTCCACAGTGGAGGACTAGCAGTCTGTCTTGGTATGGGGAACAAATTAAAGATTAATTACTTAACAGAGTAAAAAAAAATCAGTTTAGAAGTGATCTGATGCAGAAATGTGAAAAATAAAAATAAAACGTGTACATAACTTAATGCCTAATATGATATAATTTTGTTAATAGCCAAGGACATTCAAGCAGAGGGTACACACCTTACGTTCCATTAATAACCACTGAACTGTTTTCAAGGTACCTTCTGATGGTAATAGACAGTGAAGTAACCTTAGTCAATGAATTGTCCGAAGTGAACGTTTTGTTAATAACTACTGAATTGTCTTTAGAGTACGTACTGTTAAAAGCTAGCCAGCTTCCTTCTAGCACGATTTATTAGTGAAAGAAAAAACGGGTAATCACAAAAGCTTAATTTATTGTTGAATCGAAAACATAAAAAAACATAAATACTATAATACAAAAAAACGTTTCGACTACCATGCTTTGGTCATCATCAGGCTCATTAGACCTAACATTTTAAAAATAGGTTCATTTTAATTTACACAAAGTTGTGTTCTAAACGCGTGAGACAGTAACAATACTATGATCACAATATAATATTGTTACGTCTCTGTTCGTTTGTTAATTTCCGGTATAAATTCTTCAGCGATACAAGTCCTTTCTTAATTAAAACTAGTTTATTCTTTCTCGATACAACTTTGTTTCCACAATCACTTTACTTAACAACCTTATAACACACGCTATAAATCACAGCGATTCACACACTTTATTTACGGTGCCTGCTGCTCGCTTGACTCAATTATCTCTCTCCCCAGTCTATCTGCATATGCCCTTATATACTAAAAAAGAGGGCGTCTAGCAAATACTGGGATATTCGTGAGGTTCCCCGAAAAGTCATGATGCTCCAGCGCGCATGCACCCAGAGTCGCGTGACTTCCGCTGTCGTAACAATATTATTAACAAAGGCACAGTGATGGTAGCTAGGGAACCATGTGACTACTTCGCAGGGCGTGGATGGATGTTCACCCAAATTGGTATAGCGGTTCACGAAGTCCATGCGGGGTTTCATACAAATTTTCAGTTTTAAATTCTACGTTTGGCGATTTTTATGGCCGTTTTTGCGTTTTTTACCACTACTTCGCCCCTGTTGATGGATCTTCACCAAATTTGGCATTAGGTTTTGTTAGGTCCGTGCGGAGATACAAGCGAATTTGCGGTTTCACATTTTGTGTTTTGCAGTTTGCATGGGCGCTTTTGCGATATAGGTGGCCTTAGATAGAATTATTTGTGATTTTTCCTTGAACGCAGGGAGTTAGGTGGACTGTCCTTCACATGATGAAGGTAGCATAACCACGAATATAGCTTGGATATTATATTTTATTTTGCTAGCAAGACCTTCTTATTATGTCTTAATAAATTACACGATGAAACTCTTTGTTGTTGTAGATTGGTAAAACAAAACATAGGACAACTGTAGGCGATTGTTTATGGCTTGAAGAATTTTTGACGCAGAAATGATTTGGTCAACTTTTCAATAACGCATCTTTGGTGTTCTTTAACATTAGTTTGTCGTGCAAAGAAAAGTCTTATTGAATAAAGACTGAAATAATTAGAGCAAGTGTTAAGAGCTAGTTAAGAAGACGTGACTAGATTAAATTTGAAGGCAGGAAGCTGTCGTGTTGAGTGAAGAGTTTTGTAAAATCTTTCTTTTGGGTTTACAGTCGTAGAAATCTTTCGAGAGTCTCGAGTACAAAGTATGTCTGAAAAACAAAAAAGAATGTTTTTCTTCAGTTTCACAAGTAGCTTTTAAGATTGGATGTTTTAAGTTTAAGAAATAAAAGAAAAGTGTCTGTGCTCTTTATAATAGAAGTGTCGTCATCGTTCACTCTAAAAAACCAGCTTTATTTCTGATGACAAAGGAAAACTCTGGCGAGGTTTGGTCTAGATGAGATCCCAATGTAGAGCCACCAATTTGATGATACAGATTTCTTTTCAAAGTAAAATTATTTTTAACATCGTGAGACATTGAAAATCTAAGTTGTCCTTTTGTTAGGCCGTTTTGAATTGTTTCTTCTTTGGAGAAATAAATATGTGGTTTCCTCTAGTGGGCTATTATGAAGTCATGTTAATTTTTTTGTTGTTATGAACAAAACTATACAATGAGCTATCTGTGCTGCGCCCACCACCGGTATCGAAACCCGGGTTCAGCGTTATAAGCCCCCAGATTTCCCGTTGAGCCACTAGAGGACGAAGTCGCATTAAAACTCGCCATAAAACATTCATCAGGAAATTGCATACTGCGAATTTTAATACCAAAAGAGAATGAGTCATGAACTCTAAATTGATTTACTTGTTACTGGTTTTTGTTAATTAGCTACTGGAGAATTTCACTCTCCTTATCGTTCTATTAAGTGCTCCTAATCGCAAAAAAAGTAATAAAATTACAGTGTTTTAACTCCTTAATAAATAATTGAGCCGAAAAATAGGTATAAATGAATGAATGAATACCGAATAGATACAAACAGACTGGTAATTAAATGTATCAGAACTACCGGTTTATCGGACTGATTTATGAGTTTATGAAAGAAAATTTTACATAAATGCTTTTGAAAGAGCACTTATACATGTTATATTTTAAGGATAGATGTCCTGTCTATCAGAAAGTTTCGTCTTCAACGAAGTAAAATATAGACAAGACCTGTTCCATATTTCAGATTATTTTGATGTATGTCGCATCTGAGTATCTAACACAGAAGGTGTGTGTTTTAACTATAGGTTACCATATTTTCCGTCAAGGAGCTATCAAAGTAATCTAGGTTACATTAGTTTCTGCAATTTTAGAGATGAAGAGGTCCACTTGGATATAGCTGTTTTGTATTTCATTATACTTTAATTTATTGCCATACCTCTGTATTCAAACTATTTTACGTCCTATCATACAAGTTCTAGCGCGTCCACTGGCTGGCATGGTGGACTGTGTTCGCGTCCTATTATCGCCAAAATAATCGGGCTCCGCATTTTAGGCCGTGGATGAATTATAAAAGTGATCAAACCCAACTGTTGGTGGTGGATGTTGTAGACTAGCTGCCTTCCATCTAGTCTATTACTTGAAAAGTTCAGATAGCTAGCGTAGATGCACTCTAGTGGCGTTACGTGAAATCCAACTAACCAGTCTTACCATAAAACTTTGAAAGTAAACTGAGACGTGAAATTCCTACTTTTCACGATGTTTTATATTCTACTATACAACTGATCAAGTAAATTAAAATATAGTAATTCTGTATTTTAAGTTATTTTATATCTTATTTTAAAGTTGGAAACGTAAGCTACCTTTTGATTATTCTACATTTCAGGTTACTTTTCTGTCCTACCTTGTAATTATAGAAGTAACTTAAGATGTGGTTATTCTGTATTTTTACTTATATATTCTCTTTATATACGTGTGAGTGATAGACGTTATCCACTGTCATGCAGCCAGAAAGTAAATTAACACGTAATTGTTCTGCATTTGAGGGAGGTTACTTTTGTTTTTTATTACAGTGCTGACTTAAAAGAAAATTAGGCGTAGCTTGTAATATTTCCAGGTTACTTTAATCTCCTATCATATAGCTCAGAACAAATTAACACATGAATATTCTATATATATATCACTTAAATCCCATACAACTGAGAAAATATATCAAATTATGAACGTTCTATATTTCAGGTTATTTTCCCCTCCCTCCAGTCTACTGCTTAGCCTGGGTATCCCTGGACGTCCTATGTTGTACCTGTTCCATTATGCATTTGTGCACCATCTCCGTGGACCGCTACCTTTGTCTCAGATATCCTATGACGTTTGGCCGGAATAAGACAAAACGAAGAGTTGTACTCAAACTGTGTATTGTGTGGGCGTTATCAGTAGCCATGTCCCTTCCCCTCAGTATTTTGTATGAAAAGGATTCCCAGTCCGTGATTCAAAACGGCGTGTGTAATACTCTGGATCCAGTTTTCGCTGTTGTCGGATCTGTAATCAGTTTTTTCATCCCACTTCTTATAATGGTAACCACATATCTACTTACTGTTAGATTACTCCGTAAGAAACAGAATAATATCCCGTTTAAAAGCAACAGAACAATATCCGATTCAACAACTAAAACTAAGACGAATACCGGGTGTAGAATGGGGTTAGAAAACGTGTGCCAGAGCTCTGTTAGAAGTTCTTGTTTTTCAGCAACAAACCCGCATGGTTCACTGTTTTCTTTGAACAAAACAAGCTGCAAAATGAATACGTTGTCAAATAATTTCCTTAAAGAATCGGGAAGAACAAGAGACGATGGAGATTCAAATAGATTTGAGTTCCAACTAATTAGTAGAGGCAAGTCCGACGTAAATGCTAAATCTAAAAGTATAAATGGGTTGTTTACAGGTATGATAGGAAATCGACGAATTCCCTTAAAACCATTAACAGATAATTTAAGAAACTTCTGGAGAAACAGAAATAGTTTTTCGACGCAGTACAAAACAAGTAGCGATGTAAAAATGGAATCAGATATGTGGAAGACGAAACTTTCCACAACAAAATCCCAACGTAATCACAGCTGCCCAGCTTTATTCTCAAATTTTCAGTATGACGACTTGATAAATAAAGCACTCTTTCTTCCTTCGAAACATTCGTTGAGACCATTGAACCACTCTAGTCTTTCTTCATCATCTCTGTTCCTTGGAAAGGATTTCGATAACATTAATCAAACACGTGTTTCAAGCATTGACACAAGGCATTTTACAGAAAAACAGATTATATCGTGCTTTGAGATAATACCGGATTGTTTACTACTCAGCCACTCTAGTAGAAAATCTGAAAATCAAACTTTTCAACATCGTTTCGAAACAAATACAGAGCTGTTCTCAAGTTCCCATGATAAAGAAACGTTAAAAGATTTTAAAAATGCAATAACTATACAATCCACCATAACAGAGCATGCTTCATCCTCTAGTAAGGTACTTTTTCTAGGGTGTTCCAAATCATTCTATTTACCAAGTCAGTCAACATCCCATCAGGAAACTTGCTCAGAAAAAGACCATATACAAAAGAAAATACAAGTGACTTTAACAGAAAAAGAACAAACAATGACTAGGAGGAATCTTCTCAGAAACAGTAGAATCATTAAATTGGAACAAAAGGCTACAAAAGTTTTAGGAGTTGTGTTTTTTGCTTTTGTGTTTCTGTGGTCTCCATTCTTTGTAACAAATCTGATTTGGGGTTTGTACCCCAACAGACAAGACCTAATCAGTCCAACATTCATGTACATTTTTGGATGGATGGGTTATTCTTCCTCCATGGTCAACCCGATATGCTATACCATTTTCAATCGTACCTTTCGACAGACATTCCTCAAAATTCTCACCGGAAAATGGGATCAAGTTGGTCAATAATATAAAAATAAATTCGCTTTAAAAAACGTAGAAAAGCTATAGCATCCTAGTAATATTAAAAACATTTCCACAGAAAAATCAGCTATGAACAAATATGGAACCTTAATCACAACTTATTAAGCTTACTTACACAAAGCTGTTTCTGAAATCACACGCCTCTGCATGTAACAGAAGTTAATTCGGACTTTAAAGATATGGAAGATGTATATTTCAAATTCTAGAATTTTGGTAATAAAGTTACAAAAAATTACCTGTACTGTTTAGAAAATAATAACAAAATACATTTTTTAATTTAGCCAAACTTATTTTTGAGCTACAACCACAAGTTATTATACTCAAGAAAACTAATTACCTTTTTTGGAAACAATATATTTGTTTATAACATTTATCTATAAAATCACATCGAATAAAATTATTGTGTGTGTAGCAATGAATTAATTCGTTTGTGCTACAAACAAAACTTATGTACTGGTAAGTACTTAAATTATTACTCTGACATTAAATCAAAATATTAAGTAATCGTCCCTTTACTATCTCAAAACGCCATTGTTATGAGACGCATCCGATTAGCTGTAGTTTAACATAGTTTTGTTGCTTACAATAGCTGTAGTTTGACGTAGTTTTGTTACTTGCAATAGCTGTGGTTTAACATGGTTTTGTTACTTGCAACAGCTGTGGTTTGACGTAGTTTTGTTACTTACGATAGCTGTGGTTTAACATAATTTTATTACTTGCAATAGCTGTGGTTTAACATAATTTTATTACTTGCAATGTCAATGGGATTATCATTAGTTGGTGTGAAACAAAACACTTCCGATGGGTCACCGGTAAGCAATTGTGGTTTAGTATTCACTTTATCTGTAAATTTACAGAGCATTGAATTACTTATAATTTAATAAGAAGCTTAATTAGTTGTATTTAATGAAAAATAAAGGATAAATTAGTTAATTACTTTCCTGTAATCGTACAAGAAGTTTTGATTACTTTTCAGTTAATGATTTGAATTAGTTGTATCTAATCAAAGATTAATTCATTGTAATTTTTTATTGTTTTTGCTCTACATGAAGCTTAAATAGTTGTAGCTTTGGGATAAATTAATCTTGTTTTATCAAAAGAAGGGCGAACAAGTTGTTATTGTTTTCGTTGTACATTTCTCAAAGTTTCATTAGTTGTCACCTTAGGCCTACCCATCAGCCCCACTGGCTTAGCAGCAAGTCTGAAATCTTATAACCCTGAAAACTAGGTTTCGAATACTCGTGGTGGACACACTACAGATAACACGTTATGTAGCTTTGCAACAGAACAAATAAGACAAACAGACACGTCAGCTGTGTCTTTAAAATGTTCATTTCTATACCTAGAAAAAGGCGTGAACCAGTAATTTATTACGAGAAGTTTAATTAACTTAAAATATAAAGAAGGGTGATTAATTTTAATTATAGGTAGTTTAAACACTTGTATAAGTTGAATACAGCCTCACCATATCATCTCGTCCGGTTAGGCTCACTCTGACGACCGTACATTTTGACAATAGTCCTGCAGCGTAGTGGGACTAGCATGACTTATTGGTTATAGCGCTTTACCTGCAATCTAGATCAAACCCTATCACCAAACAAGCTCGCCCTTTCAGCCGTTGGGGTGTAATAATGTGACGTCAATCACACAATTCGTTAGTTAAGAGTTGGCGGTAAGTGGTGTTGTCTATCTGCCTCTCCTCTAATCTATGAACATTAGGTGCGGCTAGTTCTGATAGTTCTCGAGTAGTTTTTTGCGAAACTCAATAAACAAGCAAACCATTGCAAAAGGATCCGTCGTAAAGCTGTCACGTCCAAAGCACACGACTTCTCTTTGTATAATTTCCATAATTCATTTTGTGTTCGAAGTCGGCTGTTTCCTTGCAACTGTTCAGTCCGATTATACAGAAATCCGTATGTGCTTTTCGTATGTGATAGCATGAATACACGTTTCATTTTTCACTTGCTTGAGATATGCAAAGACTGAACGAGAGATATGACAGGAAGCCTTATCGCAGTTAACCCATACCCTGCTGCTCTCGTTTTCATATGGAGATCCTTTCTTAACTGTGTTGCATACTGTTGCCTGGGACACGTAGCGACTTTTGCCACTGACCTATGTGTTCTTGGAATCTCCACTGTTACAAGATGCTGCACTTACCTACCACGTTTGGAGTACGATCTATTGCAGGTTTTGTGTTCTCCAAACTCATTAAGTACAAGAGATATTTCCGTTTTAAAGTCATAAATCCCCGGTCAGAACACATGTTTATGAACGGAGTGTATGAATAATTTGCGTCGGTTTGGTTTGTTTGTTTTAGAGCTCAAAGCTATACAATCGGCTATCTGTGCTCTACTCACCATGGGTATCGAAACATTTTTAGTTTTACAAACGTGCAGACTTACAGTTGATCCACTTGGTGTGAGGGCGTTTTGTGTTTGAAAGAGCTTTTACACTATCTTCCCAGAAGCGATCAATCTTCGGTAGCATGTCCAACGAAATGACAAATAAGGTCAAAATGTACTACTCACACATAACGTTCCACCGCAACTTCGTGTTCACTGTAGTTATCACGTAACTTGCTGATTTGCATACTCAAAATAATTTTCATATAACGTACTCAACTCTCTGTAATATATTTTATCAGGAATGATGATACTAGAAATGGATTATTTCAACCTACTAAATATATGATTTATTACCTTTTTAGTACGAAGATTGGTTTGATTTTTACATGGTACTTATCTGATTTTCAAAAGAATACAAGATTCTAAATATATCATATGGTGTAAGAATACAAAATTTTATGCGCTGAGACATTATAAGAAGTGTTTCGGTTTAATAGCATTTTATTAGTTACAAAATCCTCGAAAATTTGAATACCTTCCATTTCATATTTTTTTAGCACAACATTAAATTTATCATTTATGACTACTTATGAATTTTAAATAGCTATGACACCAAGAAATTAAGTATACGTTATATGACAATACATTAAGCTTTCTTTGTTACATGGCAGTATGCCTAGAATATAAAATAATCATCAAATAATAATATTGTTGTAATGAAACATATTCCTTTGTTAATTTAATACGCGAAGTAGGGAGCATTTAATAGACCATAGCCCATTTTTACTACTACAGTTAGGCTTATCATGATATATCATGGATTCAAATTGTGAGTGCAAAATTATGTTTTGAAAATACAGGCTTCTAATCCATTGCAATGAAACAAAGTAAATCAATCCTGAAGATACTATTTCAGTGATTGGACGTTTTCTTGTTAAACTTTATTTCAAACAATTAGGCAACTTTTTGGTAACAAACCTTGATTTAATATATGAAAATTTGCCTTATGTCATATAACCAAAATTTCAATAAGATAATAATTTTTATTATCTATTTTCCATTGATTTCATAAAACAACTTTCCTTTAAAACAAGATATTTATCTGCATATTCAAAACAAATTTATTTAAATTATTTATCAGCAAATTTGGTATTAGCAGAGAAGCCATACAAAATGGCTTAGAGTAGTATATATTATACATTAATTGCTAGCCAGGTCAGCAAAAGTTGCTACCATTTCTCTTGGCTGCAGTGTTAATATAACTCAGAAACAAAACAATATGGCTAATTCAATTGTTTTTTGATTACCCGAGTTAATCGCAATTTCGAAAACGATACCAGTTCTTGTTCTGTCTTTAAAATTACTTTCTTTATCGTAGGTTATGTTCAGTCCGACTCCAATTTCTTACACAACACCGCAATTTATATTGTAACAAGCTTCTAATAAGGGCGAGAAGATCAATCTTAGACCATACATCTCGACAAAACTTTCCACAGATACTCCATTGTACGTGTAGTTTGGCTTCTAAGACTATATCTATATAGGTTCATTAAAGTTACACTGGAGAATTGATTGGTGGGTTGAATGCTCTTGCTATATAGAATCATTTTTCTCATGAAAACAGCCGTTCATTGAAATGAGTAGCTGGAAGCTTGTGAACTTAATCTCTTTGTTTAATTTTTTTTTAACAGTACAAGGATATATGCCCAGTTTTATCGCAATGGCCTTTTGGTTCTTCATTTTATCAACAATGGGTTTCACTTTGCAGATAGAAGTGTTACTCCGGATTAGCTTGGAGTATGGTTTCGAATCCTCTTGATGTCCTTAAACGCTCTGTTTTGTGAAATTTCTGATTCCGTGCAAAATAATGAATATGACCTTCTTTGAAGTACCCTGCGGTAACACTGCTCGTATTTGCGACCTCACGCAACTGTATTAGCATATAATGATCGTTAAGATAAAGTGCAATTAACCATGTGCAACTTTTAGGGCTTCTCTGTGCATTATAAATCATTAATTATAATGTTACCACTGTGAATTACTGCAAAGTGATTGAAAGTCCTAAAAAAGTTTTTTTGTACATTTTAGATTAAAATACTAGGAGGCTTGAATAAATGTATTTCGGAATGGAGGAAAACTAGAGCAATAATACGTTAAATAGATATACTTCGTTTATCAGTGTAGCGTTCCATAATTTACAACTTTCATTTTGCTAATAACAAGAAATCTAACCTTTCAAACTAAAGTCCATTTGAACCAAGTATAAAACACTTTGTTATTACGAGTAATGAAATAAATATTTGATATGCGTTTCCTTCATTGGAAGTAGTACTTCAATTTCAAGTTAACTTACCCTAAACAGTTTAGTTCAGGGATCAAACTTTCGCGCTGGTGTTCATGTGTTGTTAAGCATAAAGCTACAGCTACGCCCACTACAAATAACGAATATACAAACCCGGTTGTTAAAGTTGTAAATCTTCAAACTCACCGCTGAGCCAATGATGGGGGGGGGGGGGGGTCTTTCGCGCTATCCCCAAGGCAATTAAATTTCAATATGTGATGATTAAGTTAATAATTATATTACAATCGGTACTGACTGCGCTTTGAAAGTCCAAAGCAAGTACACAGATTGATTTGTTTGTTTGTTTGAAATTAAGCACAAAGCTACACAATGGGCTATCTGTGCTCTA